CACACTCTCCACATATACATACACATATAAACCCTATACACACATACTCATATATGTATGTGTTTCCATATCTATATCCTTTCTGTCTTATTATGTTAATGAGAAGCCTAGTACATTAGATAAAAGCCAGGACTAAGAAAATCCTATTCTAGGAGAATAAATAACTCTTAGGTACTTGTATTTCAGTGTGATAACTTTTGATACCGGACTTTAGGTCCCCCAGATAAACACTGTACTGCATGAACCCATTATTCTTTCCATTTCATTTTCTAGTATAAAAAAAATTAGGGTGAATTGAATAAGGAAGAAAGGAATTTTGAGCTATCAAAACTATGAGATAGACTTCTAGTGACAAGGTGACAGAGTGAGGTAGGAACTTGTTTGACCCTCCCAAATTCCCCTCCATAAATACCTCACAATGACACCTCAGAACCACTGTTACAGTGGTAAAGCAGCTTACCAGCCCAGGATAGCTTCAAGGACCAGCAGGAAAGGTCTGTCTCACCAAAAGGAAGGAGAGTGTGATCGTAAACAAGCAAGCAACAGGCAACACCATAGGGGGCCAGCAGCGAGGCTCCAAGGCCTGGGGAAAATCACCAGCAAGACTCCACCAATACTGTGAACCAAAAGAAAGGCCAATAAGGCCCTGCCCCAATTGCTGGCCAGCAGCAAGGCTCCAGTCCTGGAGCAGGCCAGCACGCCCCCCTCAAGTGCAAACCAGTAGCTAGACCCCAACACCTGGTGCAAGCCAGCAGCAAGGCCCTCACCCCTGGCATCAGAAGCTCAGGACAAAGCCCAATTTTTAATATAAAAGTATAAAGTCACAAAATAGTCAGAAACAAAAATGAGCATTTGAAGAGAGTAGCATTGGTGGAATGATAGGGTTGGAAGTCAGATTATAAGGGGTTAAGAAGAGAGTGAGATGAGAGAATGTGAAGACAGCCATTGTAGATGGCCTTCTCAAGGAGAGTAACCACAAAGAACAGAAGAGGTATAAGACAATATTTAGTAGAGATAGAAGGATCAAGTGAAGGTTTTTTGAGAATGGGAGAGATATGGACATGTTTGTAGGCAGAAAGGGAAGGAGCTAGTAATGGACAGGGAGAGATTAATATAAGTAATAGAATGAGGATAAAGGGAGCAATCTACTGGAGAAAATGGGATAGAATAGGATCACTTGAGTTAACCTTGGTAAAGGTAAGGCCACCTCTTCATGTGAGACAGGGATGAAGGAAGAGATAGTAGCAGAAGCCACATGAGTGATATGTTATGAGGAAGAGGAAATAAGAGCGAGCTAGTAGGGAATAGTCTCAATTTCTTCTGTAAAATATGAGGCAAGGTTCCCAGCTGAGAGGGTTGGGAGAGGGGAAGCCATAGAAGGTTGGGAGAGATGAAAAGATTTGAAAGAGCTGCTGTGAAGAGTGGGATAGTGAAATGATAAAGAATGTATGGTTGGATTGCCTAGCAGCAATGAAGACCCAGTTGAGGTTGTAAAATATCTATTTGTAGTGAACTCAATTTAGAAGGGCTGCATTATTTTTTCCACCTTTATTTGATCGCAAAGTGTATAGGAATGAAGTCAGTGAATGATGGGAATGATCCCCATTTGAGGTTTGGTAGGATAACACTGGCAATATAATAAATAAAAAGGCTATGGACTCAAGAGAAGAAAACAGTGTAGAGATGACCAAGGGTTCAAGATGGAGAAAAGAAGACAGAGTGGCTAGTGCAGGAATGATTGGCTTGGGAATGGACTGAGAAGTTGAGGGGTTGAAGATCACAGTATGGACAATGAGTCTGGTAAGGGAGGGCAGAAGGAGAGGTGGAAAGGCAATAGATTATAGTCAGAAAAAGGGATTTGGGGAATCTTTTAATATGGGCGTGGCACCCTTGTAAGCAATGGTAAGGTCAGACAGGAGATCCTGTTTCACTACTCCTCTTCCCTCCAAAGGCAGGAGAATAGGCAAGAGGCTAAATGGTGGAAGGTGAAAGTCCCACTTTCCACTGATTTTTCTCTCTCTTCTCTTAAGGGAGAGGCACAGTAGGAGATGGGAGAGGTTCTCCATATCTCCGTTGGGAGATCAGGGATGGCAGTAAGGGGTGGAAGGTGCCTCACGCTGGTGCAGATCTAAGTGGTTCCACAGGCCTCTAGCAACCTTCCCTCAAGGGACATGCAAAGTAGAAGATAGGAGGCTCTGTCAAATAAAGGTCCTGCTCCTTTTCTCAGCTGGGCATAGCAGGAACAAGAAGTCCTCTGACTCAAGGGGAAGTTGCTTTGCAGCTGTTATAAATAAGTTTTGAAATGATCAAAATTACATTTAAATTTAATTATTTGTCTCTAGGATTTTTTTAAGTTAGATAATATCAGTTCATGAGAGTAATAACTACATAACCAATTTAGCGAGAAAATTCAGTGGAGCAGCTGAAACTAGTAAAAGCAAAGGCAACAGAAACAGTTTAAGTAGAAATACAGAAACACAAAGTAATTAAGTCCAATTCCAGAAAATACAATCCATTATTAATATTTACCATTAATGGAAGCTTAATGGAGACTGCTACGTTTGATTTTGTGGTAATTTTGAGTTTTGAAATGTATTATTTGATGTTTTCATTATAAATGATAGGAATTCAAAATGGAGTTATTTAGGCTAAGTGGTTCTAATGACCATAAATACATAAGCAATGACAGACACAGTCTGTTTTTTTTCCACTGTCCAGACTCATTCTGACCCCATGTCAAATATGTAAACCATTGTAGCACCTGATTGGACAAGGCTCCCAGATAACTGCAGTGGCTGTGCACCAACACCTGTTTCTGGGGTTGCTATTAACAATTCAAACCTTCATCCAATTTCTGGTCCCAATTAGGAAACTCCTTGACCTGAGTCTGGTATTGATAAGTTATCCAGGGAATTTCCTCCTTCACATCTGGGTCTGATTAGGAATGCCCTCTCCCCTACCTGGCATTAATTACCTGTTCTCAACCAAACCCATTTTTAAGGCATAAAACTCCCCTCTTCAGACCCCACTCTGAGCATGTACTCCCACTGAGAACTTGGCCACTGTACAGTTTCCCTCACATGACTGACCCTAGCCTCATGCCTGTCAGAATCTCTATATTACCATACTCTGTGTGTGTGTGTGTGTGTGTGTGTGTGTGTGTGTGCACGCTTTGTTTTTGCTTGTTTGCTGCCATTGCATAGTAATCATGCTTGTATTTGTTTGCGAAGTACCAATTTTGTGTAAATCCTCAAACCTGGATCTTTGCTCTAACCCGAGCCTTGAAGCCACATAAGCAAGCAGCTTTTTATTGTAATGCACAGGTTTGTATAGTCACCTATTCAAAATGAAACCTAATAAATTGAAATTTTATCTTGAAAAGGTACACGTTGGCAAGATAAGAAAATTTACTCAAAGAAAATTAGATGCTTTTTAATTAACAAAATGATGTTTTCAAAAGGCATGTTTGTGATACCGAAAGAATTAATTGCTTTATAGAAGATTGTTTACAGAATTGCTAAGTGCAAAGAACCTTATTTGATAGATGAAATGTTTGTTCCATCTGCTGTTATCGATATGGCTGAAATGATGTTTGATAGATTATTTACAAAGAATGCTTGAATGTATCTACTTGGGAATAACACTTGGAACTGGTCTTTGAGAATTCTCAGAGAGTGAATAAATCCATGGAATTTAATTTTTATTTATCTATTTATTTATTTATGTGTTTGTTTGTTTTTTAATGAGGCAATTAGGGTTAAGTGACTTGCCCATAGTCACACAGCTAGGAAGTATTATGTGTCTGAGGCTGGATTTGAACTCAGGTCCTCCTGACTCCAGGGCTGGTGCTCTATCCACTGCACCACCTAGCTTCCCCCAGGGAACTTTATTAAGTCCCAGGAAAGAATTGTGAATAAGTTCTGGCAAAGATGGAGATGTTTCCAGTCAAGGCCACTTCCTCTGAGAAACATGACAGCAAAGATGAAAAAGAGAACTAGATGAAGCAAAGAACCAGTAAAACTGAAAGAGAAACCCCTAGAATACTTCTCCATGAAGTCCAGGGATGCACTAAAAAAGGCTGGATCCTGTGGGCTGTCTGACTGGAGGCCCATCAGGGAAGCCTAAAGGCAGTCCAACCTCTGGAATGTAGAGCTTGAAGCCAATGGGATCTCAGTCCTAAACTGTTAGAGCCTTAACACCCAATAAGTGACTGCCCTAGGAGAGAGAGATGGGGGCAGAGGTATCTAGAAGACCTGTCACTGCAGGCCCTCCAGGAGGCCTAAAGCCAGAGCACTCTTTAGTATCTGGTTGGAACCTCTCAGGGCTGCACCAGAGGACACAGCTAACTCTAAGTTGATTGCACAGGGGAATAAACATGGGGAAGAGGCAAGCATGCATCATTGGCCCCTGGAAGACAATAAAAATAATACCTATCATTTATATAGTGTTTCAAGGCTTATGAAATGATTTGCATGTGTCAACTCATTTGATGGAGGCAGAAACCAGGGTTAGAGGGAGAATGTGAGGTCTTATCCCAGAGCTCTGGGTAAAGGTTATGAAAGAGGGCAGGGAGGGTGATGAGAAATCCACCACCTCTCCAGAATTATGGCAGCATCAGGGGCATTCAGACTGCACCTGGGGCAAGATCTGGACTTGGCCACCCCAGTCAAAAATAGGAGGGGTTTCAGAGTACCCTCTGATAGGAACTTGGGGAGTTCTGGATCTTTACATCTATTCAGCATGTGAACTTTCTTTTATGTCTTGTCCCCCTTGCCCTGCATTAGAATTTGAACTCCTTGTAAGCTAGGATTATTTCTGCTTTTTCTATTTGTAAACCTAGAGTTTAGCACAGTGCTTAGCACACAGAAAGAAATGTGTGCATACACACACACATATACATATATATGTATACACACACACACACACACACATACACACATACATATATTCATTCAGCCTTCTTTGCAAGATTTACAGGCTATTTTCTATCTTCAATGTAGGATCCAAAAACACTGGCTTCCTTGTTGTTCCTTGGATGAGACACTCTATTTCTTGACCTTGGGCCTTCTCACTGGCTAGCCTCCATGCCTGGAATGTTCTGCCTCCTCACTTTCACCACTTATTAGCTGGATGGCCTTAGGTAAGTCATATAAATTCTCTGAACTTCAGTTTCCCCATTTGTAAAACTGGGAAAATAAGTTTGCCTCACAGTTGCTCTGAGGATCAAAAGAGATAAAGTACTGTGTAAGTTGTTCATTGCTTTATTGATGAAAGTTGATTAACTACCTCATTGAAAAAATAGATTTATCCCATGACTCAGATATAAATTAAAATGTTGGTTTATAGCAGAGCAAGAGATGGAGAGCCCTGTATCAGTGAATGTAAGGGCTCCGATAGCTCATCCAAGTTATGAAAAACAGGTGGGTAAGGGAATGGGTTTGCCAGGAAAAGGTGACTCAAATGCTGCCAGGTGCACAGAGAAGACAATGAAATCACATCGGACCTCCTAGTTAACTCCCTCAGGGGTCCATAAGGAGGAACATATCATGACAAAGTGAGAGCCATTATCTTTAGCTGAGGCTCTTGGCAAGACTCAAAAATTTTATTTTCAGTGTGCCTGGTACTCAAGTGGCCAAGCAAACATTTTCTAATTTAAACTATTCTCCAAGAGTAAGTGTCCCAGAAGAGACAGCAAGAGGCTAATTTACTAAAAACTGGAAAGAGTGAGGGACGTATTCAGAATAGTGGTATAGTCAATACGGTGTAAGGCTGTTGGACTTTAAGTAAGGAAGATCTGAGTTTGAATTCTCCTATTTAGTAGCTATATAAATCCTGATACTAGCTATGTGAACCTCAGTAAAGTCATTTAATCTCTCTTAGCCTCAATTTTCTCATCTATAAAATGAGGATAGTAATAGCACCGACCTCACAAAATTGCTCTGAGTATCAAGTGGCATGATCTATATGTATGTATAGGTATCCAACCACATGTATATATACACATATACATATATGCACACATACATGCTCACACATATTCATATATAGCTAGGTGGCACAGTGGATAAAGTGTTGAGCCTGGAATCCTGAAATCAGGAAGGCTCATCTTCCTGATTTCAAATCTGGCCTCAGATACTTACTAGCTATATGATCCTAGGCAAGTCACTTAACCTCAGTTCCTCATTTGTAAAATGACCTGAGAAAGGAAATGGCAAACCATTTTGATATCTTTACCAAGAAAATCCCAAATAAGGCATATATAATATATTTTGTAAACTTTAAAATATTTAAAATATTTTTTCAAATGTTAGTTACTATTTTTATTATGTTTCTAAGATCTTTCCACTGACTATAAACCATCTTGTGGCAGTGATAGTAGAATAGAAGACAGTTAGGGTTATGGTCATGAGTGTGGAAGTTTATTTAGAAGGAAGGGAGGTAAGAGAGAAGTTACTGGATAGTAGCTGGAAGTGGTTGTAGAGATGGAGGTGATGGGGATCATTATAATTGTAATACTGTCCATTGTAAAAATTGGCAGTCTTTTATGACCAGGTCTCATGGTGGTTCTATTCTTGGACAGGCACCCCCATATGTGATCTACTTTTATTTCCATTAGGAAACCTGTGTGTTGAAGTCTCATATATTAATATTCCTTCTAGGTCAGAAAATTTACCAGTCCATCAAATTTGTTTTGGAGGCAGCACTTACCTACAAGTCAGACAGGGATTTTCTATAGCTAGGAGAGTTCCCTAGAGCTTTGGTGCCTGGCTCTGATTCTTTTAGCCATTTTGAAGGCCTGTCTATGGAAAGCTGCCCTTAGCAACTGAATGATAATTGTGGGGTTATGTATACCATAGTGATGAGTTGATGCAAGCCATTTGCCCAGATAGGTCATATCCATTCAGGCTTCAACCAAGGTTTCTTGGGATTTATCTGGTAGGGTGGGGTGGAGGGAATAAACCTAATCTGGATGATAGGGAGTTGTAAATTTTATGCAGAAGCATGGCGGAAGGGTAAGGAAGGATCAGGTGAAGAGATACTGGGTTTGGGTCTAGATAGGCACCTGATCAAGTAAGCTGGAGGCAAGGTCAGTAGAGGTCAGGAAGTCAGGGGTAAAGACAGAATGAGATGCAGCCCATAATTCCTCCCTAAATTTGGTGGGCTGATCGGTGTTGGGAAACTTGGAGACAGAAACCAAGATTAGATAACAAAAAAGGAAAAGGAAGTCATCAGGTGGGGAGAGATTGACAACTACAACCAAAAGTTGGAGGTCGCAGTCAAGACTTCTCCAGAGAACACAAGCCTGTGATATCTCTTGCCTGGATGGTTGCAATAACCTTCTAACTGTCTTCTTGGCTACATTCTCTTTCCATTCTAATCTACCTTATATACCTCCTTCCTATATACCTATCTTCCAAATGCACTTCAGTGGTTCTTCACTGCCTAACAAATATAAACCAAACCACATGACCTATTCAAGGTCGACAACAATATGGATCCAAACTATGACCATTGCATTTGTAGCAATTGGAATACTAATCATTAAATAAAAACTGTCCTGAGCTTTTTAACATCATCTTCTCCTATTACCCTTTCTCTGCCTGTTGAAATCCTACACATTCTTCAAGGTCCATCTCACAGTGCTTTTCCTCTGTCAATCTAACATTTTCCTATTAACTGCTTCTCTGCTTCTCTCCCTCTCTCTCTCTCTTTCTCTCCCTTCTTTATCCCTCCCCCCTCACAAAGTCACAAATGAGTAGAGCCCCTGATCTACTTTCAAGGCAAAGAGGAGCACCAGTGCTGGTGGTTGCAGGGGAATGGGGGCCCTTCTGGGGTAAAAGGCCAGGCAAGCAGCGCCAATACCTCCCCCACCTATCAATTGTATAAGTGCTGAAAACTTGCAAACTGCCCTCCCCCCCACCAAACTACCTCTGAAAACAGCTACACAATAAAACCTGAAGCTTGAGACAATGCCTCCCCATCCTGTGGTGAATAGCACCCAACTTCAACATAAAGTTCAAAGTCATGAAATAAGCTGAAAAAATGAGCAAACAACAGCAGCAAAATAATTTGACCATAAAAACTACTACAGTGGCAGGGAAGATGAAGACATAAACTCAGAAAAAGACAACAATGTGAAAAGGGCTCAAAGCAAAGCCTCAACAAAAAATGTTAATTGGACCCAATGCCAGCAAAAAGTCTTTGAAGAGTTAAAGAAAGAGACAAGAGGGGTAAAGGAAAAATTGGGAACAAATGAGATTGATATAAGAAAGTTATGAAAATAAAATAAAATAAAAATAAAAATTAGTAAAAGAGGCAGAAAAAATGTAGAAAATAACACCTTACAAAAACAAAATTGGCCTAATGATAAAAGAGGCACAAAAATTCACTGAAAAGACTTCTTTAAAAAGCAGAATTGACCTAATAGAAAAAGAGAGACAAAAGCTTACTGAAGAAAAATAATCTCTTAAAACTTAGAATGGGGCAAGTGGAGTCTAATGACTCCATGAGACATCAAGAAACAATAAAACAGTCAAAAGAATGAAAAAAAGAAAATGTGAAACATGTCATTGGAAAAACAACTGACTTAGAAAATAGATTGAGGAGAGAGAATTTAAGAATTATTAAGTTACCTGAAATCCTTGGTCAAAAAAACAGCCTAGACACCTTGTTTCAAGAAATTCTCAGGGAAAATTGCCCCAATATCTTAGATCCAGAGGGTTAAATAGAAATTGAAAGAATCCACCAATCATCTCCTGAAAGAAATTTCAAAATGAAAAGTCCATGTCAGAGCTCCCATGTCAATGAGAAAATATTGCAAGCAGCCAGAAAGAAACAATTCAAATACCATGGAGCCACAGTCAAGATCACATAAGATTTAGCAGCTTCCATGTTAAAGAAGCAGAGGGCTAGGGATATGATATTCCTAGCATATTCCAAAGGAGTTAGGATTACAACCAGAAAAACTGAATATAATCCTTCCTGGGGAAAAATTGAAATTTCATGAAATAGAGGACTTTCAAACATTCCTGATGAAAAGACCAGAGCTAAATAGAAAATTTGCCATTCAAACAGAAGATTCAAGAGAAACATAAAAAAGTAAACCTGACAGAGTAATTGTAAGGGACTCAATGGTGTTAAAGTGTTTATTTTCCTATATGGGAAGATGATACATGTAACTCCTATAAACTTTACCATTATTACAGCAGCTAGAAAGAGTTTGTATTGACAGAGGACACTGGTATAAAGTGATTATGTTGGGATGAACTCCAAAAAAATGAAGCAGTGAGAAAGAAGAATGCACTGGGAGAAGGGGAAAGGGAAAGGTAGAATGGGGGAAAATATCTCACACAAAAGAGGTGCATAACAAAGAGCTTTTACGTGGAAGGGAAGAATGAACAATGCTTGAACTTCACTCTTATTAGAATTGATTCAAAGAGGTAAGAATGTATATATCCACTTAGTTAGGTATAGAAATCTAATTTACTCAACAGGAAAGTAGGAAGTACAGAGATTAAGAGAAAGGACAGAGGGATGTTAAGGGGAAGCACACTAAGGCAGACAGTGGTCAGAATCAAAACAGACTTTTGAGAAAGGACAGAGAAAAAGAGGGAGAAAAAGATGAACAAAAGAAAATTGGAGGTAGGGAAATGCACAATAGTCATAATTATAAATGTGATCCAATATTTATGGGCTCACCCATAAAATGGAAGTAGATAGCAGAATGGATTAGAAACTAGAATCTTACAATAATTTGTTTACAAGAAATATACTCAAAACAGAAAGACACACAGAGTTAAAATAAGGAGATGTAGCAGAATCTATTATCCACCAACTAAAGTAAAAAAAAAAAAGCAGAGATAGCAATGTCAGACAAAGCAAAAGCAAAAATAGGCCTAATTAAAAGAGATAATAAGGGAAACTACATTTTGCTAAAAGGTGCCACAGACAATGAAGTAATATAAAAAAATACAGTGAGTTTCTCTGATAAAGGTCTCTTTTTTTCAAATATATAACAAACTGAGTCAAATTTATAAAAACTGCCATTCCGTAATTAAGAAATTGTTAAGGGATATGAATAGGAACTTTTCAAAGAAGAAACCAAAACTATTATAGTCATATGAAAAAATGCTCTAAATA